CTTATCGCTGTACCGTAACCATGCTAGATAGTGCTCCTGAACAGATTAAGATAACAGTCGTATCGAACGACCTATATGCCTGGTTCCACGTGAGCAGGTCAACTGATATACATACATACACACACACACACACGTAGAAGTGGTCAGATGAGAAACTTTGTTCTTCAAGTTGTTACAAGTCGTTAGTTGACAAGACAATACTAGTTTTAGGGTTGGTGCAAAGAACGTTCTTCTTGGAGAGTTTGGTATCCTTCTCTTTAGAATGCTGGTGGTGCAGCCCACTTTGAAATTTTCGTTGAAATAACGTTTCTTTGACACAATGGTAAGATGCTCTATGAGAGGTTTAGATTTGATATTTTTATCGAAAAAGCTCGATGGGAATCTATTTTCAATCGGTATATTTTTCAGATTTTAATGATAGCTCATGTTTTAACACCATTTTTATTGCCACGCTTGAGAAACAAGTTTTAACTTTTAGATTCTAATACAAGAAAACTGCGTAATTTTGCTATTTTACAGCTTTGAGAATGAAATCGCTGAAAAGTGAATCTTCGCTTTTCTTGTTCTTCTTTCATGTCCTAATGGTTATCACTCGCAGATATCCATTGCTCCCTAAGTCAGTTAATACTTGATACTAACATTAGGCTTGCTTGAGTTGAAGATGGTGATTTTAGTTATTTAGACAAAATATAACCCTGGTCGTCCATTCTGGGTGCACAAAATAACAAAACAGAAAGAGAGTGAGGGAGGAGAAGAAATGAGAAGTACTGGATACCATATTCATTCAGTTGAGACAATCTGGCTAATGGATTGGCTAAGCCCAATTGACTGAATTGTCTTGCAAATGACCAGTCATCTACGGTATACTTCAAACGGCTGTTTCACGCGGATAGAAATAATGTCAAGATAATCTCAGGATGTGTAGAGAAGTTGACTTTTCATTTTAACTGCATTCAAGACTGAAGTCTTTGTGGTTGTAGTTACTTCAAAATGGAGGAAGTCGATACAATTCTTCTGTGAGAATTTATTTACACCACCACCTGTAAGAAGTTTTCTATGCATTGATAAAGGAAGTACACCACATTCTCCTTAGAATTGGACTGCGAATAAGCCTGTTATGACTGTACAGTTATACTCAGAGAATAAACTGAATAAAAGTCAATTATTGATTAAAAGAAGTCAACTGATTTGCTTACTGATATACTGAGGAATCAGTTTTGATAGTTAGGCATAAATCTCATTGGTTAACTAGTGACCTTTTATTGATCATCGCTATGGGTTTGCTTTCTAGTGAATACTACTTCGGATCATGTGCATTCTTCGTTAAACACCTTAGATACTACTATTTTATCTGCGAAAAATTTGAATGGCGTCATAGCAACTGCTGAAATAACCCATCAGGTTTCCGTATTTCATGTGAAAAGGTAGTTTGACATCAAATAAGGAAAAGTAATTGGTTATCTTTGCAATTGTTATGGGGGTCTTTGAATCCACTCGTTTTCCTAACAGGATGATAAATTGGTGGTCAGTGGCTTTCACGCAATAAGTCTGTTCAATTTTGAAGTTTTTGGAAGATCACCATTTGTCTGCTAATTCATTTTATTGTTTTTCTCATTCAACTGCAACATACCTTAGTACTGAACAGAATTTTAAACTCCATGCTAACGCTCCCTTGAACCAGAGTTAGTCGAGAAAACTCTTGCTCTGTGGTTTCAAGAATATCCAGTCCCTATTTCTCATTTTAATCTTCTCCAGTCTGTATCTTCATAGGTTATCTCGAGGATCTGCAATTGAGTTCGGTACTTCAAACAACAAACGAATACCGCAGACGTGACACAATGCTGTACGTAGTACGATAAACTATGTATCATAAGTGCTTTGGTATAGTATGCGAAATCCACCCATGTTAGAGTTGCTGGATAGGAGGATGTAAAGATCCGGATAAGGGCTATAATTAGTACTCAGTACTGGATGTCAAAATGGACATTTCTCTTCTCTTTTCACCTAAAATGACATCTCTGAAGTTTAATGGATTTTAAGTATGGAAATAGGCAGGAACGACTGAGAACAAAAGATGATTCGAAGCAGATTTATGAACATATTTCCCTGATCTGCGCCTCAAGAGAGGTAGGGATCTTAGTGATACGTCTGATCTGTAACTAGTTAATGCACAGAATGAAGATAATATCTATGAATTACTTGAAATAATAACTGCCTACAGGAATACAACCTGTTTTGGGGGTTTTAAGGGATTTCGTTGATTTTAAGGTGGCCTACAACTTGGATTGATATCAGCTGGAGAACTGCAGAAAACCTGGGAGGACTGAACAGCTGTTTCGTCCTACCAATGGACTCTCCAGCCATGCACACCCATGATACCAACAAGGGTCTAACCCAGGCTGGACCATCAGGCTTTTCATTGAGCAAGTTACCATTCGGATACGGATGAGAATTCAACATTTCACATTTCCTTATTTCTGTCAGTATGAGATATAGCGTGAACTTCATTCAGTGCCGTCATTGATTACCTCTCCTCAGTTACGACCTGGTTCGCTGCACTAGTCATGACTTCCCATTAGAAGTTTAGAGAATTTCATCTCGAAGAAAGTCACTGAAGAGCTCTAGACAGTAGTTCAATCTTGAAGTTTATGAGGATTAAACTTGTAGCTCTTGGGTTCGATCTCCGATAGGGTCAGTCCATGATGAATAACAACTTGAAGACCTTTTCATTTCAACCTGTGAACAGCATTGCTTGGTCGCTGGAGAGTGATCTGTTTTGTGTTTTCTGTTCCGATGGGCTCACCGAATTCTGTGGTTCTCCTTCAAGTGTAAACATAGAGGTAGGACAGTCATCATCACAGTTAGCTCTAAATGATGTTAGGTGATCAGTAGCGGTTGATATGTTAGTGGGAAATTAGTTTCTTAGAGGGTCAGTCGATGCATTTCGGCTAGCCCTACTAATAGTCGAACATGGCGCAAATGCTTCAGTGATAAAGTCTCTGACTGAAGTACTGGACAATAGCCGCTTAGGACATCTGAGTGTATGTGTACCTTTAGATTCGGATACATACACAGTCTGCACTTGTTGATCAAATTTATGTTGTGAGAGTCGAATTACGCTGATCTCGTTTACCTCAAAGTCATTCTTAGTAAATTCAATTTACGTTAGTGACCGTTTTGATTAGCTGTGTAGTGTGAACGGGAAGACTGCAGACTTCTTTGGTGAGTTGAAGGCGTTCACAAAATGAATATATTTCCAGGCTATGGGTCAGATTTGTTTGGACGCTGGTTTTTGAAAATGGTGAGCTGTAAACGGTCACACACATACAGAGCTGCTTATTCAGTAAAGTGAGTGTCAACCTAAACAGTAACTTTAGTAAACGTTTGAGGTAACTTGATTTCATGAGGTTGCACTAGACTACTTCTGAAAGTCTGTACATGAGTACGTGCTCGAACTAATTCATCTGACTAATCGAGCATGGAACGCATGTTCACTTAACATCCTAGCGAGGTATGCTCCACCAACTGACTATTACTTAAAATCACTAGTTCGAATCTTTTAGACAAGAAAAATGTATCGACATTGTGGATTGCTTTTACCAGTGAATACTAGAAAGAATAAAACTTAGATGAGGAGTTTTTGATGTACTGGTTTGTAAATTATATAGGAAATTTGAATTTACTTTAGTATTATGTTAATTGTTTAGGCTTATACTGTAATAAGGTTAAAAGCAATTCTTTGAGTACCATCTACCAACGGATCCATCTACATTCCTGACTTGCCAGAGATGTTTTCTGAAGTCTGCGTCTAAATTAATTCATTATCTGCCAGCTTCAGTGGTAGATACTGGTTAATTGGAACTCTTTGCTATTTCGCTTACATCATTTTCAAGAATTCACATAGTGATATATAGATGAAGAGATATGATGTGCAAAGTGTTAAATTACAAGTTAGTTATATTCCTTAGAAATCTTTCCACCGCCTTGTTGTAGAATCGCTTATTTATGAGTAAGCCAAGTCTACTCACGAATATTCATGTGTCAAAATTTATGAGTAATTATTGAAAACTATAATTTAACCTGTTAGTTCTATGGGGGCCATGGACAGAAAACCCTGTTCTATTATGGTTTCTTGTTTGTTGGCATTCGTTTAGAAGGTGTATCACCAACGTTGACGGAAGTCATGTCTTCTGTGTGACACCTAGCACTACAGTCAGAGACGTTATCAGTGAGCTATTAGGGCAGTCACTGACCTCCTCTAGGACTGGATTGCATAAAATGGTTAGTCACTGGAAAGCAAACAATTAAGTGCTGTCTAGTTCACAGTGGGACCAAATTCTGTTGGTAAGTTTGCAATGCAGCTACCAAGCTAGAAGAAATTGCAAATCTTCCCACTCAGATATGTGAGCTTATGCTGCTGAAAATTCAAGAACTTTCATTCAGACAGCTAGATGATAATTATCATTCACAAAATTACTATCGACTAGCATCTTTTTGTCATTTCTGCTTAAGGTAGAGAACGATAGTTCTTCCGGATGAATTATCTATCTACCTTAATTATAGAAAGTGGGAGAGTACATAGCTTGATAATTTAAGCGTACACAAGTATCATGCATTCTTAAGCAATGGGTTCTTTTTCACTCTAAATCAGTTTTTGTTGATCGCCTTTTCAAATTGACAGTATATTCGCATTTTCCAGTTTTAAAATGTTTGTTCGAAGCATTATCTTATTTAAATAAACTGATGAACTAAAAATAAAATTTTTTAAAATTTGTTTACCATGCATTTTAGTGTGTGCTTCAAATTCACTTAGCATCATTGAATTTTGTGATTGGTCCACACAGCGAGCACATGTGACCTTGAGATGAAGGGCAGCCAGTGGATGGTACAATACATTGACCAATCCAAGCACAAATATGCAATTTTTTTAAACAAAAGGCGCAACACCCTGTTAAGCAGACCACAAAATTGTGAATGTCAGTGAGGAGATCAGTTGACGAATGCAGCGTCCTCCAACAATTCCTATTGTAAATCGTAGTTCACTTACATCTCGTCCTAGTGGAAATATACTAAATTCAGTTACACCATGTAAAGAGTATTACACACATGATTTAAATGGAAAATTAAAATATTGTATTGAAGTAGATTTACAAGGCTATCCTCAAGAAAGTATCCAGATCACTCGACAATCACAAGATGTGACAATTTCGTTAAATTATGAAGAGAGAAAGGCAACTGGTGAAAAGTACAAGCAAGAATTTAAACGCGAAATTCAGTTTCCTCTATCTGCCGATTTGAATACACTGAAATGTACAATTATTAGTAAAAATACTTTATTGTTAGAGGCAGATGTAAATAAACCTGAAAATTCAATTTTAAAAGTTGCACAAGTGAGTCCAGTGACAAGACGTCATATTAACTGGGAATTATCTAACCCATCTCAACGTAACTCCGTCTCTGAATCACCAAAACTACGTACGTCATTTTCAAATGAAACGAAACATCGATATCCTTCACTTCCAAATTCACAAATCGGTACGCATAAATCATTTAGATTGAAAGAACGCGGCTTAACTAGTCAACATCAACGGATTCCTCATCGACGATCACCAACCCATTACACTGCCAATTCCTTTTCACGTCATGAATCTCTACGCATCCCTGTACGTGTTGATATTAATCATCAGCGGATTGGTCAACCAAGTCCAACCAGTGTACAACCTATTCGAGTTGAAGTTGTAAATCATTCACCTCAATCAAAGCAGTACAACAGACCGCATCAATCCCAGTCACAGCCACAATCACAGCAACACAACAATCATAGTTATAACCGTCAGAGTGAGTACAAAATGTCCAACAGTTCTACAATCACTTCTCAACGTCCACTTCAAATTAATCCAGTAGCAAATATGCCTTCAGATGAAAGTATTCCTAAATCTAGCACAACACTATATCATCCACATTCTCATCATCATAATGGCAACACAAATAACGGTAACCATATTAATTCTGTAAGTCTTCCAATCAACCATATTGTTACTGCCAGTAACAATAATAATATCACTAGTAATACTGTTCATAACAATACCAGTACTTTCGCTAAGTCTTCCAAATTCTACACACAAAGTATGAAAGTTGGCTCAGATGTTAAACCAGACGATTTAAATATTCACTTGAAAAATGGTGTCTTAACAATTATGATAAGACAACGAGGGAAAAATTTTGAAAATAATCAACAAACAAAAATTGCTCGAGAATTTCTACACGAACATACTATGCCAATAAATGTTGACCAAAGTAAACTGATTGCCAAATTGGATAAAGGTGTTCTAACATGGGAAGCGCCGTATACGAGTGCACAAATTGATCTACCAGATTGCTTGAATATACCAATGAAGGGTCAAACATATCCTGTTACAATTAGTAGATGAGTAAAAGTTAGATAAACTTATTTATTTATTTACTCATTTCTTCTCTTAAAGAAAGATTCTCACTGTGAATAAAATACTTTTACATACATATACATGTACTTTCATGAGTATAGAGATAACGTTTAATAGACTTTTTATGCCTTGTACATTCACTGAAGTGAATCTCCTCAACTTATTATGTACGTGAACAAAATCAAGATTTGAAATTTTATCTTCATGTTCAGATGTTATTTCATATTTATGTGATCGATATACCAGAGACATCTGTTGTAACAGGTAGCTTTAGAGGCCTTGAATATATATATATACATCGAATGTACATCAAATATATGCATGAATACATGTAATGACCTATATTCATATATAATTTGCGCATACAATCTATATGAATAATCGATTACTTCTATTTTTAAACTCACTGTTGGCTCGATAAAATTCGAACTATATACATTTATAGTGTGATGTTTGCGTTGGTTAGGTTTTCAAGTAAATAAAGACTTTAGAAGCTTCACAACGAAAGAAACTTTATGAAAGTGACTTGTTCAAGAAAATAATTTTCTTTTTGATGAAGGCAGTGAATTAATTCAAGATCATAGTGAAATTCGATTCTGTAAACGTCTTTGATTTTATGTTGATCATACTAATTAGACAACGAATGTGGTCTATTCAATTTATTACAGTGACCTTGAAATGATTATTTCATTGAATAAAACAAAGGAATGTTAAATATTTCAGTAAAACTAATCACTACAAAGTAAATGTTAATGGTTTAGTAAGGTAGAAAGACTACTCGTAGAGTGAGCGATTCAACAAAAAATCACTCTCATAAAGTTTGTGTGAATCATATACAATCAATCGTATGATGATTTTTTCGATGACTTTAAGAGTGAATACCGTTTTAGGATTACAGGCGGCCTGACAAGTATACCAAATCTCATAAACTTTTAAAAGTATTAAATAAAGCTGTTATTGTTGAGAGACCTATTTCAAATCATGACTAGTTGGGAAGTAGTTGGCTATCTATAGTAAGTTAGATTTATTGAGGAGTTGAATTATGTTTAAAACATGAAGTATTCGCGGTATGCAGTTTAGATTGGAAATGAAAAGCAAATGATGACATCATTTATCCCAGTCGTTTGAAATGATCGTCACATGTACCGTTCATTTCCAGTAACGTAACACTCGTTTCTATATATCATATTTGGTCAAATGAAAGCATTATGGGAGAATATTCAGAATGACCACATAGAAAAGTAATGCAGTGTGAAGAACCACTGGCTTGTTCCTTTAACTGTCTAACTGAGCATAGTATATGAAATGGTCTTTTTATGGGTGATGAGAGGATTAAATGGCTTGACACTTAGTGTGATCTGCTGACATCAAGTCTATGGGAGCAGTTGTATCCAACATCTACTTTATCTGTAAACATGGAGAGTTCTTGTGTTCAGTTCCTTTTTCATTCATAATTATTACCTTGTTTACCTGCTGGTTTGCTGTCCATTCTCACTTCCTTCATTGCTGATGTGTAATGTTATTGGAACAAATTTACTATGTATTACCCAAAGCATTCAGACTACAGCAGTATACTCCTTCATTCTCTCCCAGAGCTACGCTGACTTTAGTCGGATTGAGTAACAGGTCTTTAAGAGTACCTCAGGCAAGTTTGGACGAGTATGTCGATGACTTTCATTCAGTTTGTAGGATAGGTAACATACCCTACATTTTTAGAGTCCGCATATCCTTCAAAGAAACTTCATATTTCGGTATTTGTGTGGATAACATGTGATAACATAAGGTCGGGTTATTGGTATCAGTTTGATGAGTTGGTATATTCCATCGGAATTTGTATGACGTCATAGCATTCAAGTCTCACCTGTTCATATTGACTTTTACTTGTTTTAACTGTAAGACAAAAACAGTTGGTTTCAACAGTGACTAAACGAAATCATGCCTATACTGGCTGTTTTGAAGCAGATATTCCAGCTATGCTGGATACATACGACACTCATCACCGATTGCTTATGAGGGCTCAGGTCTGTTGTACTTCAGTTTACTGGCCATGAAACGTGGATTTAAATGTAAGAGATTTTAAGTTGCCTCAGTTATTTGACCACCATTACCTTAGCAGCATCAGCAAAGTGTTCGATAGAACCTTCAGAAGTATTGCAGAAGAAAAACTGGGTTATACCTAAACATCCATAAGCTGAGGTAGTCCAGAGAGGTTTTGCGTATGATGAGCCACTTTTTACTTAAACATGCAATGTTAGCTGAATAACTCTTAGGTTACAAAAAGGCTGAATGTGTCTTAACAAAGATATAGATTGTAACAGTCTATGAAATCTCCAGCTGTTGATTTGACCGATACATGAAAATGGAAGCTACCTGATTAGAAGGTGCCTGACAGTGAAAACTGATATTTATCTACTAAAGGTTATACGCTTTGAGAATCAATTGCAGTCACTCGATAGATCCTTATTTTCCTTTTTATCACCACTATGTGTCTCCTTATTCGCATCCTCTTCTCTTCTTTCTGTCTTGTGAGTTTCCATGACTTTTGGCCACATTAAATTCCTTTTTATTTCCCCACTCATTACTGCATCTAAATATGCTTGTGTGAGATTTGGCAACTTTGACTGCAACACGATGATTTAATCTTTTATGCTGACAGCCTCTAACGATTATCTGTCATCTGTAAGTTGACTCTAAGTATGTTTGAAAGAGATGACGCTGTTTAAGGTTATTCGAGTTATATGCCTTGATGTTGTGTTAGGCGGTAATTTAGCGATAGGCAGTTTAGGTGAATACAAGTTTCCTCAGGAAGTGATATCAGCTAGAGAATCATTAAAGAGTATGAAAACCTCAATCTTTGGGATCAATCACATGGGATGAAAGCATTATTGTTCACTTATTATATTGGTCAAAAGCTACGTGGCTCTATGAATGGAGTTCCAATATATTGTTGAGTAACTCTGTAACACGGTAGTTAGAAAATATGAAGGCTCTGAACTCAACCCCGTAGGTGTCGGTGGTCATTGTCCACCAAGGTACTCTGAATTAGTGTGCAACGTTTGTTCAGTGCTTCTTTGTCTTTGATTTTGACAGGATACTTCGGATGATGTCAGTTTTTAGTGGAAGGAATATCCTCAAACTCCTCAGTTCCTCAAAGACTATTCGATATACGCTATCTATATATGTTGAGGGGAGAAATTCCACATCTCTGTTACATGTATTTGTTCACTCCATAAAGCCGACATCACAGCGATAATTCATTTTGTTGGTGGTAACTCAGCAAAAAGTAAACTCATCCATTCAGCTGATGAACACACAACTGCAGTGGAGTGAAATTCACTAAGACACTTGAGGTTCAAGCACACAGTTCTTCAAACAACCTAATCAATAAGATGTGTGCTACTAATAAGGGTACGAAAAGTAAATAAATAGCGCTTGATAAACTACTCATTATCAATATAGTGTTGGTGAAGGTAAGTGTGCACCTTCTTAACTTGCGATTCGGTACAAGAATTTTCTCATGTTAACAAGGCTTACATTCTCGACCTAGGCATTCATCCTCCAACCGTTTGTACACAAATGCTGAGAAGTGGTTTCGCAGATAGCTTGTATCTATGCATAAACACCTTCTTATATGTAATTCTTAATCAAAAAAGGAACCAAAGTTTCGAATTCAAGATGTTCTAGGTCTTCTGTGAGTCTGTCTTGTTCTTATAGCTGAATTACTACCTCTTACGTTGGTTTGCACCTAACGCGTTCAATGTGATAGGGTGTCCTATGGTCTTGTTTGTGTTGCTGAGTCATACACGTCTCACTGGGAGGGTGAGGAGTTTTCACAACGTCCTTTAACCAAGTATACGCTATGGGCCCTGAAGATATGTGCAGCTTTGTCTCTAATATAAAAATTTCACAAAGTGTCCATTCTACATTAGTGTTTGTCATTTAAGAGTCCGAACTCTTCTTCCATGATATGTTCTGTTCGGATGCTTTGTTTCCTATTATAAATAACAGCGTTCTCGAACCACCAGTCCTGCTTTCGACAGCGGAGGAACAGTTTTAATTATCATACTGTTGTAGGCAGGTTATCCATCTGTAAACCACGTAAACTACCCTTCGTCTCCTCATCGAATGCCAAGTGCATTGAGGAAGAACAGTCGGATAGTGTTCCTCTGTTTACCTTTAAAGTTGATGTACTGTATCCAGTTTCTATGATGACTATTCCAAATATCACCAGGCAGCTATGGACACATTTCTCCTGTGCGAACACTCTAGTTGAGTTACATTTATGGCAAAATCTTCAAATTAAAAGTTAAAATTGTTGAAAGACAAAAAATGAGTACTAACTAACCGAAATTTCTCGATTTATGCCTTTAATGCAAGCAGATTGGCATAACAGCAAAGCGTTTCTGGATTGAAACCACCTAGAGAAAGCAGCGTTTAGATTTTGATAGCTTTATATCAGTGGGTCATAAAACAGGGTTAGAGAAGACACTTCAATCAGATAACCGAAAAGGTGTGGTCGGAATAAAGGTTCGAAATAGAAAGCAAGCTGTTGCAATAGTGTCTAAGTAACCGGAGGGGCAGATGAGCATTTAGAGGACGAAATCACAAAACATAAGTGAAAAACTAAGGTGAACATAACTGTAGAAAAGAAAACAGTGCTTCCTGGATTGGGTCTCAAAACTGATGCAGCTGCAGACTATATATATATATATATATATATATATATATATATATATATATATATATATATATATATATATATATATATATATATACCCCTAATTTTGACCTACTTTTGCCGGGTATTTGCCAATAATCTTGAAGTGGTTTTACAAGTTCGCTTTTATATTTCCCACTGCTCATAAAGGCTGAACTCTCATTTGTCGTTAACTCTTAACTTATCAGTGAACCTGGTGTTCGACAAGGTCGTTTAACATTTGTATATTCAGCATCACTCTCAACTGTTTTGACTGTTACTGAGACAGTAT